CCCCCCCCCCTGCCTCCGCTGGCCAATCGCACCGCTTCCAGGGAGGCGTTCCTCGCTCTCATTGGACCACGGACCCGTCAGCACAGCGAAGCCAGAGAGGAGACTAAAAACAGAAATAACCCAAATACATAAATGTACATTTGCGTGACATCTGGAGGCTTTGATCCTGCGGGACTCAAACCAGCAACCCCTCACACATTCACTTCTCTGACACAAGGAGCATGATTCACTGTCTTTAAAAAAGGTGGGAAATCCTATTTATTGCATTTTTAAATCTTTAAAGTAACCCAGAAAGCATAATATCACCCAAGTCACACAATTTAAGTGAAATAATTAACTTAAATTGGAAACTTTATATATTGATATCACATGTATGCCACATTCATTCTAATTCCAGCCCTCTCAGAGCCCAGCTGGTCTACATTGTGGTTCAATCCTGGTTCTGGTTCTGATTGAGGTTTGTTCCTGGTTCTTTTCCTGGTTAAGGATGGTGATCAGAAAAGGTTTCAGAATAATCCTTAAAAAAGACTTGTTATTTTATTTATCATTAGCTCTGAATGATTTGGAGCAATTGACTGATAGGTGGATTTTATTTCAGTAAATTGTTTACCACATTTCTATCTCAGTTTTGGCTGGTTCTGCCTCTTTGGATCTTTCTGACTCTGTTTGTACTTTAATCCAGTGTTTTTTGGTAATTTTTGTCAGTTTTGTAGCCTCTTTCCACTTAGAAGTATTCTTTGTGTCTTTTTGTTGTTGTCTTCCAAGAAATTTCGCTGATGCCACAGTCAGTCTGATGCAATCTGCTATTATCCCCAGCAGGTCTCCGTGAAAGTTGATAATCACTCTATTTACTGTTCTTCTGCATCCATAAGGTATAGACATCTTTATAAGACAACAGACAATCCCAAAGATGATAGAAATCCACAATAAATAGACATAACCAAAAAGAATTACATTATGACCTAAAACATACTCTGAACAACGATGTAAACTGCCACAAAGACCATGTAGTGACAACTAAGAGATAAAAAAAATGAACACCTATAGATGGGAAAGGTCAGTGGGATATTACAATTGCCACTTGATATCCATCTATCTTGATTTGTACCATCTTAATCCAATTCCATGAATTCCAGGGGTGGTGTGCTATCTGAGCCATCTTTGGGAAGAGCTAGGGAACTTTTTAAAACATTATTTACACAGAATTATTTGGCTTTTTCTCACTATGTGTCTATGAAATCCAAATTCGTTATTTGCATCCTATAAGCTGAGCTAAATAAAGAAGGATGTCTTGTTCCTTGCTTTGCCTGAAATTTGCCTTATTGTATCCAGACTCACAGTTTTGTGTCCCTTTGCATGGTTCTTTTAGGTGACCTGTATATCAAGAAGAAAGTGAACAGTTGAAGTGGTTGTGCTATGTTTGAGTTCAAAGAAATAAATGAACACCACACGAAACAGTGATAATTTATTGACGTAAAAGCTTTTGAAATGGAGCAATAAACATTTTGGACACATTATTATTTATTTTTATTAAACTCATCGTCAAGATTAAAGAGGAAAGTTGAGTTTTCCAGAGAATCTGGAAAAAAGAATGAAAGACTATTATATTTCCGAGTTACGTTAACGCAGCAAACAGAACTTGCGTCTGACGTCAGCCGCGGGGGACGTTAACTTCCTTGTTGGGATTTTTTACTTTTGTCAACAAAGCCGCGTCAGACTTCCAGCCGAAGCGGACGTAGAGTGGTGTCTGCGCCGGTACCAGTCGCTGGCCCCCCGCTCTTTAAGCAGCGACTCTTTCCAGGCGGGAAAATGACTTTTCTTTGGGTTTTCACGTCGATTTTCGTGCCGATGTGCTGGGTGATTGTGTCGGCGGAGAATAACGCGACCCACCCCGATGGCACCACGGCGCCCCGACCCGCTGTAACCAACTCCAGCGCGGGGAACTCCACTCACAGCGGGGGCAGGGCTCACAACGGGCTGTTCAACGGCTTCAACGTGGACAGCTCCATGATCCAGCGGGCCCTGTACGTCCTCATCGCCATCACCGGGATCGGAGTCCTCTACTTCCTCATCCGAGCTGTGCGGTGAGAACCGCGACCTCTTCTCAAAGTTTAGGTCCAGAAATTCACACGTTACGAAGAAAAACCCCGTTATCAGATGGGTGCCGAACCGAAAGCAACTTGTTCAACTTTAAATAAAAGACACCGTAGTTATTCAAAGTTAGGTTTTAAAACAGCAGTGAAAACCATACATATTTAAAGTATGGGTTTGTGAATGGAGTTTGACTTCACATTCAATGTTTTGTGTTAAGGAGGATGTCAGCTGATATGTTAACTGTTTAAGTGTGATCAATCATTCATGTTGATACAGTTAGAAAAAGTGGAGTTGGTCAAATTCCAAGCAGCTTAAAGTGACTCTCTGCTCTGAGCTCCTTCATTCTCCAGCACAGCCTGAACCCTCTCCAACCAGCTCTGGGTCCTTTCTTTAAGGAGTCTTCAGGAATAGTTCTCCAGGCTTCTTGAAGGACATCCCAAAGCTCTTCTTTGGATGTGGGCTGCCTTTTGTTCCGTTCTCTGTCAGATGATCCACACTGCTTCAATAATGTGGAGCTCCGGCTCTCTCATGCATCTCTCAGCTCCTGTCAGTTCTTTGATGGACTCTTTCCTCTTTCTTAAGGACGTCACTTTCAGATCCTCTTCATCTGCTGTAGATCTTTCTTTTTTTTTTTTTGGCCCAACACTTCATCTTTCAGTCTCCAATTGTCCAGTTTCACAAAATGTTTTAAGGACACACTGCCCACCATGCTGAGACATGCCAAGTTTTCTTGGGAATCAGCTTGTTGCTGCCTTAAAAAAAAATCTGCTTTCTGTCTTTCAAACTGTGTTATCTTTGACATTTTTTTTACACATCAGAAAGAGAAATGACAACAAAAGATGTGTCTTTGTGACAGGCTGCTGGTAACAAAGCCTACAGATTAATTTAAACTGCTTCTTTAAGTTGCCTCTTCCTTATGGACACAACACTGGCTCATCCCTTTAGTTAGGGAGCTGTCAGAATGACTCATAGCTCAGTAACAAACAAAATAAATTACTGTTTATCTGCCTGTGTGGCTTATAGCTAAAAGTTTAGTGGCTTACTGCACTGAAAGCAAGAGGAAAAGCAGAAAAACTCTGAAAGAGCTTCAGGAAGCTGGATAACTATTTTTGTACAGGCGCATTTTAGGAGGTTAAAGAACATCTGAAAATAGAAGACTTATTGGATCCGATTTTAAAAGCCCTGTCACTGTAGAATTATTAAAAATATACAAAATTGTCACAGATTAATGGACTTGATGCCAAACTGTAAAATTGAGATATGAAAGCCACAAAAATTAAACGAAAAAGTAATGAAATAACCTGAAAACTTATCATTCAAGCTTTTACAAATGAGAGTTTAACCATCAAATGAGTTTATGAACTGGATTTACATTTTATCTGAAACAGTGTCTGTGATAACTGACGAGGAGTTTTCCTTCTACTGACTGTTACACTCAGCTTTTATCATCCACAGGAAGCTGTTTATGCCTCTAAAAATCAACTTTTGATGGCATCTTTTATCCTTTTAATGGGAAAGACTTCATTCAAAAACAGGAATTCCCTTGTTTGTTCTGCTAAAAGAAGCTTATGCAGGTTGTTAATGTAATTCTGTCTTTATTAGATCTTTTACAGCTTAGGTTTTCTGTGTTCTGCTACAGATTGTGAGTCACGGTTGTCTGGATTCACTGTGCGGTGTGACTTTTATCACCTTCTGTTGGTTCTGAGTCACTTTTGAGGCCGGACCTCCTCATTAGAGCCGTGGCGGCCTGAGCGTAATCTGATGATGCTTTCAGGATTCAGAGGTGTGAAATGGTGGCTCTGTGTGCTCTCTCAGGCTAAAGAAGCCCACGCAGAGGAAGAAGTACGGCCTGCTGTCCAACTACGACGACTCGCTGGAGATGGAGGCGGTGGAGAGCGAAGAGGACGACACGCTGTACGAGGCTCGCAGCCTGCGCAGGTCAGAGGTCACGGCCGCCCGCACCAGTCCCACACACCCGCCACTCAGTGTCTTTAACTATCCATGCCATTGTCAATCAATGATTATTTTTAGTTAAAGTTTAATTTCTATACTATATATATGTTTAAAAGCTGTAGAAGTTTTTATTTTTATTTTCAAAAAGTAATATACATATAATGCAAGCATATAAAAAAGATTACAGTGAGAAATAATGTATTAAAATTTTAGTTAAAAAAATCTGAGCAAATTTAGATTAAAGTCATAATAAGAAATAAGAAATCAAGCATCAGATATTTCTAAACATAAATCCAACACTATTTTTTTATTCTTAAAAAATAAGTATTGCTTTTTTCAATATAAAATCAAAATAAAAAAACATTTAAAACATATTTCTGTTTAGCTGTTGGCAGCCCAGAAACATGTTTAGGAAATTAGTTTTTGCTTGAAAAAACTGCCTCTTTGGGGATTTTTTCCATAGCTGCCACCACCCTGTAAAACACATGTATAAATACACTTTTGTTCAGTTTGTTGGACTTTAAAAGGCCACATTTTATTCAAATGAATGAAAAAATTTCTGGATGGTGAAAATAATCTTTGATTTAACTAATATTTCTGCAAATGTTGTACAGTATTTGGAACTTTCCAGAGAAAATGTGTGCAAAAACATCACAAAGTTAGATGAAAGCAGTTTAAAAAACCCAGTCCCAAGATGAATATTGCAATTCTCGGAATTGTTACAGTGGTAACTTTTTAACCATTTTGGTTTAAATTGTTTGTTAGAATGTATTTAACCATTCTAGTTTAGTTTTCGGTCCATATCTATCCAAATAATGCAGATTTATATGTATTTATGTAGAAAAAAAAAGGAATAATGGAAGTAGTTAGTCAATCTGAGATTAAAATGTTCCTTTAACTTGAGTTTTCTGACCTTTGTGTGTCCATGATGGACGTTTTTGATCGATCTGTGTCTGTTTAGATGAGGCCTGCTGTTTGTTATCTGCTGTGTGGACATCAGCTCATATCGATTAAGGACCAACGGCTGGGAGGGGAAAACACACGGGACCAGGCGGCCGCTGAAGGAAAATGCCAAAACTTCCCGCTGCTCAGGGGAGCAGCAGAATCCCTGTTTTTTTAAACGGTGCTGGATGCTGGAACTGCTCCCACGGATCCTCACCAGGCCAAATCCTCCTTCTCTTTTCTTTGTTGTTATTATTATTTCCATCTTTTCCTTAGTGCGTTTTTTCTCTGAGCTTTTGGGGCGTGTGTGCTTTGACGTGCTGGAAGCCGGCCGGCGGGCTTCGATCCGGATTGGTCATCCTGCCAGACTCTGACCCTCCAACAAGTGTTGGAAACCGTGGTGGTATTGACTCCTGCTTGTTTTCAGGTTTAAAGGATGGAAATGTGTGGAAACGTCTGATTGATACTGATTTTTGGAGGCTTTGTGATGTGTGCCTCTCCCTTTATGACAAAGACAGAGTTTATACTTCTATACGACAACACTGAGACCTAATTTTGAATAAAATCTAAAAACACTGTCTATAATCATTTTTCTAATCTAATATTAATTTAGTTTAACTTCTTTTGTTACATTGGTTAAAATAACATATTTAACACTGCACTAATAAATGTAGAAACTTATTAACTTTAATCGTTATTATTTTTTGTTTTATACACACCTCAATATAATGAAAATATGCAAAAATACTACTCAACTATTAATTTTTCATATAAATGCTATATTTTTGTCAATAATTGTATATTGTCCACAAATATGTATTTATTTTATTTAATATAAATTAAGATTTTTTACATTTCCCTAAAATGAATTAATTTCTTACCTAATTATGTTATATAAAATAAAACAAATGTGGAAAACCATATTCACATTATTATTAACAACCTGTTAATACCATTTGATAATAAATACATATCAATTTAACTATTATGTAATTATTAATATTTTATCATTTATGTTTAAACAGAATCAATCATATCTATGCATTATATAGTTTTCATAATTTAACATATTTGAAACAGAAAATCTGTCCAACACATAAATAATTTGTAATCAAACTATTATTGTTCAAAAGTTTTATTCATATAGAATAACTCCATGTCAGCCTTGAATACTAGATGTTCAATTACACGTGTTTAAAAAATTAAAAGCATGATCTGACGCTGTTTAATCAGAATTTAATCATATTAAAGTAAGTTTTTGGCCCAGTTGAACCTCCGTTTGGAGATGTAGTAGCAGCAGGTGTCCAGCAGGTGTCCCCACAGTCCCAGCCTCAGCTCCTACGATCTGATTACTTCTGTTTGGGATTGTATTACTATTACAGATCTTTTTATTCATATGAAAACTAATATTTCTATTTTTATCAACAAATGAAGCCAAAACCTTCATGTTTTCTCACTGAAAAAGAAAAGCTAGGACAGAAGCAGATCAATATTTATTCCAGTTGGATTTGACAGGTTGCACTAAATGTATTGTTTATTCAGATGAGATATTGGCTGAATAAACAAACACAATCAAGATCTTTTTAAGGATGAAATACAAAAAAAAATCTCAAAATGTATAAACTGCACAGAATCTTCATCAGAAATAAGAAAGGTTTCAGGCAGGCAGAATGTGAATAATTTGGATGAATGATGAAGGTTTTACACACAGGTAAAAGGTCATTAAAATATTTTGAAAAATTTTCAGATACAGATGGATAAATATTAGGGCAAATATTAAAATTTGAATATTACGAATGAATTGGATACAAAAATGTATTTAAAAATATTGAAATGGAAAAAATAAAGTTAAAATAATTGTAAACTTCTGTGTCAGACAGCACAGATCTCTCATCTTATCTTAGATAAGATTCAGCTCAGTAATCCGAGTATAATTCAGGGTTGAAAGGATTAATAATACATGTTCTTACACACATTAATAAGAACAAACTTTAAAATAGAATAATTAGTTATTTATAATAAAACATTAACCAAAGTATTCATCAAATCCATGAAAAAACAAACATTATTTTCTAGTAGACCATGAGGATTTTCTTCCTTTTTCCTCAGGCGTTATGGGGTTAACACATTTCTCTGCTGTGTGAGAGTCAGGGGCTCCTTTTCCCACAGTTCTCTGTAATGAGGTCACAGAGTGGACTGTAACCAGCTGATGATGAGTGGGCGTGGGGCTAATGGCCGATAAGCATCTGCCCAGTCAGAGCCCACACAGACTGGACAATCACACCAGCGCAGACGGTCCCGGAGGAGCCGGGGGGGGGGGTGGTCCACTTCCAGAGCCACTGTGTGACACCCACCCGTCCTCAGTTCCCACCTCTGTCTGTCTGCACACATGTTCCCATCCAGGTGTCAAAACATGCGCATTTAAATTACAGATGTGCTCGGTTCCAACATTCAAAAGGTTTTTCTTTTGATAAAGCGCCAAAAAACAAGAAACGTCACCACCAGGCCGGTCAGAGATTCAGTCATGTTCAAGCCAATTAGAGTCCAATTCACTGTGAAAAAAGACATGCAGAGCTATCAGGCCGACCAGCAGCGTGACACCATACCAGAGACACCTGCTAAGAAAGAGAAACACAAAAATGACAACAATAATGTCACATGTACATGGAGAGGACAGAGAACAGAGGGAGGAGAGGTGCATCATGGGAACTCCCCCAGCAGTCTGGGCCTATAGCAGCAGAACTATGGGATGTTTCAGGGTCACTGGGCCAACTATAAACTTTGTCTAAAGGAAAGTCTGAAGCCTGACCCTAAAGGTAGAGAGGGGGTCTGCTTCCTGAACCCAAACGGGACTACTTGTAATATATCAGTGATCCACATTTTAGGCATCTGGAAGTAAAATATTGCTTTAGGTCTCTGTCATAAAGCAGGAGGTGTTTAAGGATCACCAAATGTTTTAGTTTCTTTTTGTTTCCAGCACACAACACATATCTTACACTTCTGTTAGTCGCATGTGGTGTAACCGAGGCCTGAAATCAGTTTTATCAGGGGGTTTTCTATGAAGAAGTCTGCTTTTCAGGACTGACACTGACCTTTTTCTGACATTTCTGTGGATGGAGGCTGCTGTGACTGTGCTCTGGAGAGGGGGGGGGGCTGTTCAGGTGGGAACTGAGGACGGGCCGGCCTCACACACTCCCCCTTTCAGCTGGATTTAATTGAAACACGCCCCTCAGCTCCTCCGGGACCTGCTGCGCTGGTGTCTGCTCTCTAATTGGCCCAGATGCTTATCACTCATCATCGTCTAGTTAGGGGGGAACCCAAACGACCACCACCAACCCCCACTCCGCCCTAGTCTCATTTATTACCCAAAACCAATGGACCCGACCCAGAAAAAAATCCTCTCCATTTTCACTTTGTTGGGGAACATGACAGGATGAAGGATTCAGCTTAGTTAAAAAGCAGTCTGGATGCATTAAAACACTGATATTTGTATCGTTAGAACACATTAAGGACTGGATTTAAACTCTTCTTAAATAATTAAGTTGAGTTGAATAATAAATAAAATAGAGGTGAATGAAAAATAACCCATTTAACCTGACCTCCACTCTCGCCTTATTATTATTAGCAAAACATCCTTTTTTTTTTAGAAATGCCCTTCATGTTTTACTTTATTTTGCTCCTTGAGCATGAAGGTTTGAAATTTGTTTTCTGGTTCTGGAGGGATTTTATATCTGGTTCTGCTGGGATGTTATTTGATAGCCCCTGATGATAGTTTTATGTCCTTTTGTAGATTCATTGTTGTCTTTCTGTTGTGTTTTGTGTATCATGACTTAATTTGTGGTGATTTAGGCTTTTATTTGATTGTGTTGTGTCTGTTTGGGATGATTTTATGTCTGTGGTCATATTTGTGGTGGTGGTTTTAAGTCTTTTCTTTAGGGTTAAAGTTAGTGTGTTATGTTGTCTTTATTTTATTCGGCATGATAAATTTCCTTTTGGGTTATTTTGTGCATTATTGTGCTCTTTCGGTTTGTTTATAGTATCATTTAGCCTCTGTGGTTAATTTATGTCATTTTTGGGTAATTTTGTGCACAGCAAGTTTCATTTGGGTTTTTTGTACATTGATAGTGTCTTTTTTTCTTTTTGGTTTTGGTCAGTGTTTCACCATTTTCAAGTAATTTGGATTTCAAAAATCAATTCGCCCATCAAGCAGAACATTCAACCACTAAAACAATCTTTTCTGTTCAGGAATGGGATTAAATATAAATCAACAAAAATGTATGTCTATTTTTTATTCATCTCACAGACAACAGCATAAAATTTGAATTACAGGATACATTCTAACAAACATCACAAAAAAACATTAGGCATTAATTCATACATTAAAAAAACAGTAAAAACACCAAAGTTTCCTTTAATATGAAGGAAACTGAATCTGGTTACGGATTCTTCAGGGCTTGACCACCTGAATGTGAAACAACTGCTAACAGCGATGATAAATGTGAATATCACAAACTCGTCTCATCATCGTGTGAAAAGGACTGACAAACAGTCTAAAGTTTTAAGGTTCAGGACGTAAAAAAGCCATAAACAAAACGGGTCTGACTGATTCTCTGACGGATAAACAGTCTTTCTGCAGGTGCAGGGCAGCCATGTTGGATTCTGAGGACAGCTGAGGATCCTCTGATGCTCAGAGTCACAAATCCAGTGATTTCACACGTGTTTTGCTTCATTTTCATCTTCACCTTCTGACTTCAAATGACTCCCAATTTGACACATATTGATTTCTGATCAAGCCTCCTACCAGTCTGATGGTCTGATGGATCACAGATCTGATCTCATTCCTGATGGTCAGGAGCTGGACACAAGCTGAGAGGGGTGAAGTTTACAGAAGAAACCGTGTTTCAACTGTGCGTGCCAAAATAAGGCAGCTCATTTGAGCTGAACAAAAACATCTGCATTTATCTGACATATCCAGCTGTGCTGAGAACATGTGTGTGTGTGTGGGGGGGGTCTCAGCCGGATCTGATGTGCAGGTGGGGGTACTCCAGGTGGCTCTGCTCCTCCATCACGCAGTCAGAGTCTGCATCCTCTGAACTCTGGCAGCTGGAGTTGGAGGACAGCCCGCCTTCCTCCTCCTCCTCCTCCTCCTCCTCCTCCTCGGTCAGACTCCCGGCTCGGCCCCGGGGGGCCGCTCTCTGGCTCTGGTCCACCACCAGCCGGTCCAGGAAGCCGATGTAGCGGAGGGCGAGGCGCAGGATCTCGTTCTTGCTCAGCTTCCTGTCGGGGGGGTGGGTGGGTATGAGGCGGCGCAGCTCGGCGAAGGCCCCGTTGACGTTCTGCTGCCGCCAGCGCTCCCGGCTGTTGGTGAAGCTCCGGCGCACCGTCCCGGGACGGGAGCCTGTGGGGGGGGGGCAAGCAGAGGGAGGAGTCAGACCCAGATGTGAGGAGTTTCAGCAGCTGGATCACACACAAAAATGGCAGTGTTGCTGTCATAAACTTGTGTTTCTCTTTCTCTTTTCAGAACAAAATTAAAATGTCTGACTTCTTTGAACGCATCATCAGTAACTGAGGAAACATCTGAGACATTTGCCACCCACCAGCAGCTGTTCTGAAACTGGAAAAACTCTCTTTTTGTGACCATTCAGTGTGTTTCTGTCCAAATACATTCAGAAAGTGAGCTAATTGTTATGTTTTAATAAATAAAAACGTAGGATTGTTTCCCCTGAAAAGGAGGTTAAACTTTAAAAATCCAGATTAAATGCTGAACTTGACTATCCTCAATGTAAAAATTCTACGGTTTTATTTCTTCAAGCACAACGAACCAATAACAGTCAACAAAACCTTCTTCAAAACCAACAAATCACATGACCAGACTCACCGCCACTGAGGCTCCTCTCATATGGGCGGCTTCTGGGCTCCATCATGATGCAGAGCTCTGGATCTCTGCAGACAGACACACACAGACAGATCAGGACCTGGGAACAGGAGGCATGATGTCCAGGGCCTGACCCTCCTGACAGCTGAGTGGAAGCTGAGAAGTTTTAAGGCCATAACGAATGATGAAAAAGGCAGTCTAAAGATCATTGTTGTTGCATTTCAGTGGAAATCCTAAGCATTTTAGGCACATTTTTAAAAACTTTTTCTGCAAACACAAATAAAGATGAGTGAAATCAGATGTCCAGCTTTAGCTCACAATGCCTTTGTGAATATGAATTTAAACTAAGATCGTTTTTAGGATCTCATTGTCTTATAAAATGAGAAAATTCTGAATCAGAACGACTAATTAATGAATGAATGAATGAATGAATGAGTGGGCCGCTGGTGATGACCGATAAAAGCATTTTAGGTGAAGCCGTGGGCAGTTTGCTGACCTGCTGCAGGTGTGGAGGAGTTGCTGGGTCTGGTGCAGCATCTTCATGCGGAGCCTCGCTGTCCGTCTGGCCCCCCACGGCCCGAAGCCCCTTTTATACCCGCCGTCCTGCGCCCCTCCGACTGTCGTGACGCGCCGTTTCCATGGAGACCCCATTGATCGTGACAGTCCCATTACAGGACTCATTAAACTCCCGGCCCCAGGAGCGGCCCCCCTGGGACCTGCCGTTTCCAGGAGCGGCCTCCCCTTCCGCCCTCCCCCCTCCGC